CTATCTATCTATCTATCTATCTATCTATCTATCTTTGTATCAATCTATCTATCTATCTATCTATCTATCTATCTATCTATCTATCTATCCATTTATCTGTGTTTGTATCTATCTAATTATCTATCTATCGATTTATCTATCTATGTATCTATATATCTATTCTATCTATATCGATCTATCTATCTATCTATCCATCTATATATCTATCTATTTATTTATCTCTCTCCCCTTCCTCTCTCTCTCTCTCTCTCTCTCTCTTTCGCTGTTACTCAGTTGATAAATTTATTAAAAACATTTCACGACGTATATAAAACAAATCACGCTGTAAATCAAACAGCCGGCAGGTGGCACCACCGGGACCTGACTCCGGCCAGCACTCACAGTTCTGCTTGATGCCGACATAGTAGGTGCCGTTGCTTGTCTCCAGGTTGGACAGGTAGACGCTGTACTCTAGCTCCTGAGCCTCATGGGTCTCCAGAAGCTCATCCTCAAACACGCGTGGATCGCCGATTTTAAACGCATAGTCGTACACGTCCTCCGACGGATATTCCTCCAGTCTGCAGCAAAGAAGAGACGCGCGTAAGATGTGTTAGTGTAGATGCAGTTAGTAGAGTGTAAGATGTGTTAGTGTAGACGCAGTTAGTAGAGTGTAAGATGTGTTAGTGTAGACGCAGTTAGTAGAGTGTAAGATGTGTTAGTGTAGACGCAGTTAGTAGAGTGTAAGATGTGTTAGTGTAGACGCAGTTAGTAGAGTGTAAGATGTGTTAGTGTAGATGCAGTTAGTAGAGTGTAAGATGTGTTAGTGTAGACGCAGTTAGTAGAGTGTAAGATGTGTTAGTGTAGAGGCAGTTAGTAGAGTGTAAGATGTGTTAGTGTAGATGCTGTTAGTAGAGTGTAAGATGTGTTAGTGTAGATGCTGTTAGTAGAGTGTAAGATGTGTTAGTGTAGATGCTGTTAGTAGAGTGTAAGATGTGTTAGTGTAGATGCTGTTAGTAGATGTGTAGTATGTAGTGAGTGTGTCACCCATGACCCCACCCTGCCTCAGCCCTGCCTCCACCTTGCCCCCAGCCTGCCTTCACTCTGCCTCCACCTTGCCCTGCCACTGCCCCCCCCCCACCCCTGTCCCTACTTCTGCCCCCACCTTGCCCCGCCACTGCCATCCCCACCCCGTCCCCTATCCTGCCCCCATTCCTACTTCTCGCCCCTAACCTGCCCCCACCTTCGCCCCCCCCGTCCCTACTTCTGCCCCTAACCTGCCCCCACCTTG